ATACTACAGTGATGCAGCCACAGCAATGTTTGTAGCAGCTCAATTCACAATAGCCAAGCTATGTAAACAATGTAGATGTCCTTCAACAGATGAATGGATAAAGAAAATGTGGTAAATATACATAATGAAATATTACTCAGCCTTAAAGAACAATGAAATAATGGTGTTTAGCTCTTATGGGCTGAGTTGTGTCCCTATAAAAATTCATATGTTGAAGTCCTAATGCCTAATCCCTCAGAATGTGTTTATATTTAGAAATAGGTCCTTTAAAGAGTTCATTAATTTCAAATGAGGAGTTAGGGGTTAGGCATTAATTCAATATGACTGACATACTTAAAGGAGGAGGAAGTTTGAATATGGATAGGTACATAAGGAAGACTATGTGAAGACACAGGGAGAAATGATCCTCTGCAAGTCTAGGAGCAAAGGTTCAGAGGAACCAAACATGACAATACTTGGAACCTGGACTTTCATCCTCTATAACTGGGAATATAGGTTTTGTTGTTTAAGCAATTCTGTTTATTATAGTGTTATAGCAACACTAGAAACCAACACACTAACAAAGTAAACATGGACAACTTACTTATATTCATAAATAATGAGTGAAGTTTGAGTGTGGCCTTATGTATAATCTGGATGTGGAATTTTATAAAAGTCAGATTAAAAATATCAAATAAGGCCAGACACGTTGGTGCATGCCTGTAATCCCAGCAGCTCAGGAGGCTGAGCCAGGAGGATTTTGAGTTCAAAGCCAGTTTCAGCAATGGTGAAGAGCTGAGAAACTCAGTGAGACCCTGTCTCTAAATAAAATAAAAAATAGGGCTTGGGATGTGGCTCAGTTGTTGACTGACCCTGAGTTCAATCCCCAGTACCCTCCCCAAAAAAGTCAAAAAAGACCTAAATAACAGATCAACATACCATATTTATAAATTGAAAGACTCAAATAGTAAATATATCAATTTTCCCCAAATTGATCTATAGATGTTATGAAATTACTATCAAAATTGAAACAAATGTTTTCTCACAGAGATAGACAGACTTATTCTAAAACTAATACATAAAGACCTATAACAGATAAAGCAATTTCGAAAAATAGGTTGGGAAGAACATATCTATTCTGTATTGTTTTAATGTACAACTATAGTAGTCAAGGTTGAATGTTATTATTGGTGGAACAATAGATACCTAGATCAATGGAACAGAATAGAGAACCCAGAAATAAGGCCACATACATATATCCAAGTTAACTTTTAAAGTTTCAAAACAATTCAATACATAAAGAATAGCCCTTTCCACAAATAGTGTTGGGAACATAGCCTTATATAGAGGTATGATAGTAAGAGAGACACTTCACTGAAGTTTCATTCCTTATATGCAATGTATCACAATTTACATATAAAATGTAAAGCTCTAGAACTTTTAGAAATAAGAAAAAAATTTTGAGGCCTAGAGATAAGGGGTGAAAAAATAAGTTACACTCTGGGAAAAAGTATTTCTAAGTGACATGTCCAAAAAAAGACTATTATCTAAAAATATTTAAAGAGTTATGAAAACACAACAAAAAAATTCAACAATAAAACTACAAATAAGCAAAATATGTGAACAAACATTTCATGTAAAAAGATACACAAACAGATGGCAACATGTACATGAAAACAGAGCTTTAGTCATTAGTAAAATGCATATTAGGGCTGGGGTTGTGGCTCAGTGGTAGAGCGCTTGCTTAGCATTCTAGAGGCCCTAGGTTTGATCCTCAATACCACATAAAACTAAATAAATAAACAAGATAAAAGTATTGTGTCTAACCAAAAAATAAATATTTTTTAAAAATGCAAATTAAACCACAGAGAGATATATCATTAACATTTTTAAATGACTGAAATTAAAAATAAAATAGTGATGGGTTAAATGCTGACAAGAATACAGAGAATCTGCATTATTCGTACATTGCTGGTAGGAAAGGAAAGTAAGTTGTATATTCACTGAGAAAAATAACTGAAAGTTACTTGAACTAAACAATATATTTATTTTTGGCTTAATAATTATACTTTTGGACATTTATCAGTAAAATTAAAACTTACACTTATAAAAAAAATGCCATGAATGTTCAATGAAACTTTTTTTCCTAAAAATTGCTACAAACTTGGGCTGGGGATGTGGCTCAAGCGGTGGCGCGCTCGCCTGGCATGCGTGCGGCCCGGGTTCGATCCTCAGCACCACATACCAAAAAAGATGTTGTG